AATAGCAGATTAACAGCGAAGAACAAGCAAGGTTTAAGGAGCTAGGGAGTCGGGATATCCATTTTGGTTCGAAATGCAGTTAATGGGCAAGTGATTGTTCAACTAAGTGATTTGAATAATCGACACGTTCAAGTACTCATTCTCAATAACTTTTTGTAACAAGAGAACAAACTAGAACGGCGAATTAACAATTCATTTTAACTTCTAGGCAATACAATTACGAACAAGCCTAGTTCATATGAGTCTATTTCGACCGACTCCTCCCCTTTCGGTTCTAAAAGTCGATTAAAGAAGACTAGAAGGTGATTAATCAACTATTCCGTTCAAAGTTATCAACATCATGCATGAATTAAACGAATTCAATTAAAATAATTGGACGTTGAAGTGTCACCCTTCAACAATTCTCAAAACTCAAGAACAATGATCGAAAAACCCTAGTAAAAGATTAACTCACACAATTAAACAATCTCAAGCTCGACAATCACAAACGATTCCAAAACATCAATCCCCTATCCCTAGCATAAGGATTTAGCTACTCATAATCGAACAATCAACAAAAGCAATCACAATCCAAGAATTCATAATTAACGATTAAATTAAAAGAGATTCTTACGATTGATAGAATTCAAGAGTTGAATTCGGTAGACAAGCTTAATCCAAAAGCTAGAGCAAAATCCGAGTTCAAATCCGTGTTCTCCGTCGAAAAATATCAAAAGAGAAAGAAAAAAAAAATCAAAAAGAAGTGAACAAAAAAACTAAAAAAAAAAAACTAGGTTCCAACTTAAATGAATATAACGCAACAAAATCTGCTATCTTTTAAAATGTGAATTCGCGCAGGCCGCGGCCCGCTGGCCTCGGCCGCGAGATCCTCCGAGACCGCGAGTTCTCTTGTTCTGAAGTCTAGGGCTTGGGACCGTTTGTTCGCCGCGGCCGGGTGAAGGAGAAGTTGCAGCCGCGGGAGGAGAAAACTAGGCGCTCGTATAAAAAAATCGCTCTTCACGGCGTGGCAACCTCCAACGGCTCAGCAGGTGGTCTCTCCGCGGCGCGAGGCTTCAGCACGGCGCGGCGGGTCTTCTTTTCACGGCGTGGGAGCCTCCAGCGGCGCGGTAGGGGAGTCTTTAGCGGCGCGGTGCATGGAGAGGAGCTCAACCTCCGTTGACGCGTGATGGATGGTCACGGCGAGGCACTTCTGCACGGCGGGGAAGGAAGCCTGGTCACAGCTGCGCTGCCGCACGACATGGAGGGATCTTCTTTCACGACGATGGAATTTGAAGCTCTGTACGGCACGTTACGTGTGTCGCGCGGAGGTCTGGGAGCTCGGGGTTGACTAGCATTACTTTTCGTTTTGCATTCGTTCGAGCGCGCTTTGAGACTGATTCCGAATCCGTTTTCTCGTGTGTGAAGCCAACGCATCCTACTACGACGTTAAGCTCATCAAATAAATTTCTCTTCTCCGAATTGTAGTCAACTGAGGCACCTGACCTGCACACCACTAAAGACGAGAAAAACGCAGAAAACGAAGAAAATAACTAAAAAACACATAAAGACTCTAAATAGATGAAAACACACGACAAGAAACAAAACGGACCAAAACCAAAAGAAAAAACATAAAATGGGGGAAAAAGAAAAGTAAAACGAACACGAAAAAAGCAACAAAAATAGGACAAACATTGATCATAGCAAGCAAGCCTCCTTCGAGCCCTTAACGCGCACTTAGCACCCACAGCGGGTCCCGGGTCATTCATTACGAGTTCCATCGAGTCATACTTTACCTAGAAATTAATTTGAACTTAAGTGTGATCCTTAATCAGTTTACACAGCCGTGCAATCACCGGAGTACCTCTATTTCCGAGAGACACCCAAGGAAAGGCCTAAAGCTTCATTTCTTTCAATTTCGAACTTTGGTATAGGTAAACACCTTTCCAAACCCTTTTCTAGCTTAAACATGATATATTAATCATTACCGAGCATAGAAATCGAGATATGCACGAGCAAAGTGAAGATTTATGATTTTTAAATTAATTAATCCCTAATTCGAAAGTCTAGTTTCCATGCGTGCCAAAGCCGAGTTTAGTACTACATAAATCATTATAAATCATGTTAAATAAGTTGGTAAAGCTTTAGCATGTACTCGGTCAAGTAGAAATCGATTTTTAAGGGTCAAATTTGAGCACCGAGCCAAATAGAGACTCATGCATGTATTTACCACGTTTTTAGTACTCAACGTCATG